AACATTATAGATAAAAATATAGCACCCATGACTCAATATTTTATGGATTCAGAATACTACGTTGAGTCATCAAAACAACCAACAACTCAAAAAGTGATGTAGTTTACTATTTTCACCAAATAAAGTTTCATATCATTTCAAAGTATATACAAAGTCATAATAAAATCATAGATTAATGATGTTTATATAAACATGAACTTCGATTTTAAAAATAAAATAAGGAATGAAGATTATCAAATAGAATTTATAGACCAAATATGAAAATAAAGAGTCCTATAAATATATATATTCGTTAATAGAATAAGGTAGTGTACCCTGATATATCAATTTTGAAACTCCATATTATTATCCTGACTTGAGGAAAAAATCTATAAACATGCACACGAAAAATAATTTGAACAATAATCTTCACAATAATTAGTGGTATACAATTACTCTATTATACACATGATATAGATAAAATCAAACAAATGAATCATGTTTCGAACAACGAGCAAACAAGACATTCAAATATGAAAAGCATATTTATACTAACATAACATATAATTCAATCAAGAATAAACAATCATTAACTTCCCAAATTTTATACTTTCGACAATACCTCATATCATAGGAATCATATAGTAAACCTTTCCATCTAATCATTCCTCAAGTATACTCAACCGAGTGGTCATAATGTCGAAAATAAATTTCAAGTATATAGAGTTAATGCACACCACACAAGCCATAAATCTAACTATACAATTAATAAATCTCCCCACATGGGTTGTATATATTGTTACGGTGCTAGGGTTTCAACTAGCGGATCCGTGCGGCCTTAGACGATTTCTCGTGTTGAAGTGGTGCCTAAGTTAGCCTTAATTACTCTTGTGAGAAATCAACTCACTAAGCAAAGAACAAACCCACCAGCATTAAAAGTGTTGCGAAAGCAAACACACTCAAGGCAATAAAAGCTACTAAGGTTGAACAACTTTGTGGAATCGTAAACACAACGGGGACTGTCTAGTCACGAAGAGAAACAACAAAATACAAAGGCTTAAGAACAAAGAGAGACAAAGGTTAAAAAGCTAAGTGTCACGGAACCAAAGCTAATAAGCTTAGAAACAAAGGAACAAAGCAACAAGACGACAAGAGAGAAACTTAGAGTAAATGTCTGAGATGTATTACTCTCTAAAAGAATAGAAAAAATGAATTGAATGATACAGATGAGGAGGGGAGGCTCCTATTTATAGTTGAGCCCCTAGATCCAACGGTCTAGATTGAATTACATCAACAACTCATATAGAAATAAAATCATATCATAATCATATATAAGAATTCAAATTCAAACCAAACACTATCTCTCCAATTTAAGTATTTATTTCCTTAAATGAAGATATAATTATCTCTTCTGGAATTTTCCAAGGAACGAGCTATGTCTGGTGGTCCTGAGCAAGCCCAATACTCCGTACAACCCTCCTAAATATATTGTGCACACATGTCTAAGTCCGTACTCCACGAGCCTTGACAATTGTCCTCACCGAACCTTGTAACGCCCTCGTCACTTTTCTTTTGAACGCCCTCGGACTTGATTCTTCGCGGAATTAACATTCTCCAAGAACTGGGCCAAACTAACTTGTTCTATCAAGCCCAAGTCTGCGCAAAAAAATCTGCAGGAGGTGACAATATAATATAATACACCACTAGGGCTACATAATCCACTTTAGGATCGTTCATGTTTCATAGATATCGTATGCAATTCCAAACTTTGTAAAGCAAACTATTCATAAAAACCATTTGATAGCATAAAAAATTTATAAAAACACTTATTTTGCTCTCGTATGTTTTGATCTCATTGTAAAGGCTCGAATGATCGAAGATGAGATCATTTATACCAACTGAGCCTAAAACAATCTTAGAATATCTTTGAAGTAAATTTTAAAAATTCAAAAAAAAAAAAAAAATCTTAGGTTGACATGCCCCACTCTTTTAGGTTGTGAGTTCAATACCCTTATATAGGAATTGTTCAAAAAAATCCAAAACACCTCTTTGGGAGAGAATTTTGAATCTCTTACCTGAAAACCCCTAGTTTCAATGCTTTAATTAAAGTTATTAGTAATTCCTACAAATTTCATAAAAACAAGTCTAAGAATGCTTCAAACTGATTTTTAAAACCCCTTATCCAAAACAGCAGACTAATAATTTAGCCTCAAGGGTATGCTTAAAACACATTAATAACACTTAATAATACTCTTAGAATTATATAATCACATAAACATCACAAGGCACAATCAAAAAAACATTGGAAATTATATAAAACATGTAGCACTTTCAAAGTTTGTGATGCACACACCTTAATTTTCAACTCCTAACAACACCATTCTATCAAAACTCTACTTCTTTGGCATTCCCTTTCTTCTTGGATGATTATCCTTACTCATCAACAATATAAAAACAAAAACTTCAAATTACTCAAAGATGCAATAAACATCATAAAAACATGAATGAAGATAAATCAGAATGAATATCGTAAACTAGTAGGATGAATAAATTCGACTGTTAGTAAATTATGTGGGTCTACCGGTGATCATATCATGAGATCAAATGGAGCTTCAAAGAACTCTAAAGATGAAACCTAACTTGAGAAGATATGTATCAAAGCTCTTGTTGTGGACAAATTTAACTGAGGTTTGTGTTAGTCCACAAGTATATGACCCTACGCCCTTTAACATCTTGCATATTTAAGATGTCCTAAAGTACACTTATTGTTATCGGTACAACTTGCTCTACAAGCCAATCAGCTTTTTATTTAATTCATCTCTCACCTAGTTTCATCCTTCTATTTCTTCGTAATAAGTAGTATTTCCCTTTTCTCTTTTAGTGTTTGTTTGCTGCAGCTTTTAAGGGATCTTGGGATTTCTCAAAATTGGGATCCTATTTGCCTTCAGAGTGAACCTGTACTTCCAATATATGTATGTAGCTTTCTTTGTTCTTCTCTTAGTCCCAGGTTTGCTATTGTTGTGTCTTTATTCTTGGGTCATTTTCTCACTTGTTCTTTTGTGTTTTATTGCAGCGTATTTTCTTCTGTCGGAATTTCGAGAACTCCATGGCTATGATAACATTAACATCAAATTACAACACCAACCTGTCACGAACATCGCCCTTCGAGAAAAATACTAGCGCCCTTCGTGATGTTTCTTTCTCCACTTTCATGGGCGGTGCTGATGAAAACTATGTTCGAAAACTTTCATCTTCAAGCCGAGGCCTCAGCCCCAACATCACCGCCAACCAAGATGAATATCATTATCCAGGGCTGAAGAAAGAAGAAGATGGAGAAATTGGAGTATTCAGAGCTGAAAAATACTTCAATGGAGGAATACATGCGGAAAGTCCAAGAATAACCAAAATAGATACAATTTCGAAGACGTTGGAATGTGTTAAAGATGAAGGAATCAACATAGAGCCGATCAAGCCTGTAACTCGTCAGGGAACTCCGAGTGTTCATTCCGAGTCAAGCTTGAACAGTCAACGTGCATTACTCCAAGGTGTTATGAGAAATCCTCCTGGGAAAAAGATTAGTAAAGTGAATGGAAAGGGTTTTCTTTCGGGTCTTGCTGTCTGCAAATGTTACTGCTCTGGTCGGAAGTCTATTGACATTGATGAAGTACAAGTTGGTGAAATAAGTTTTAAGAGCCATGGCAAGCAAACTAAAACAGCTACTATTATGGACAGTCTAGAGGTCAATAAACCAGTAGCAGAGCCCTGGGTGAAGGAGGAGATTTTTACTTTCCCCGCTATGAATTCCGGTATGGGGATTCGACCTGTTAAGGTATCGTTCCAAGGCGATGTAGATGAAATCGGACGGAAATCGCTAGAGGTATTCGGCTCCCCTGTACTTGGGAGGAGAAACAAGTCTTTGAACATTGAGAGAAGGCTAAAAATGTTATCTTGGGATTCCATTCCTAAAGTTGAAGGAAATGAAAATCATAAAGGTGACTACAATGATGCACAGAGTGATGCAAGTTCAGACTTGTTTGAGATAGAGAGCCTGACAGGCAAAGCCAATCCCTTTCTTGTCAAGCAAGTATCAGATGTGGCGTCCGGGTGTGCCACCCCGACAACTTGTTATGCACCAAGCGAGGCCAGTATAGACTGGAGTGTGGTCACGGCCAGTGCAGCAGATTTCTCAGTCATGTCTGACTATGAAGAGCTAAGGCCACCAATAACTCTACCGAGCCCATTGAACACATTTTCGACAACCACCAGAGCGGAAAACACCAAAAATGACGAGGAGTTCCGGAGGCGCATTTCTAGTGGCCTATTGGGGTGTAATAGCCAGAAATCTGTCAATGTTGCCGGAGATGCCCACAAAACAAATGAGAAGGCAGGCTTCGACCCAAGAATGATCCGTGTGTCGGATTCCTACATACCTGCCACAAGATTTCGAGACAGGACAAAACTCGCCAGTGCTTTTCAACATACTCAAAGGCCAAGAGCATCACATCTCTTGCACATTCAGTAGCTTGTAATAGTCTATTTCGTACAACTTGTGATGAAATTTTTTACTATTACACCATGTTTAGTATTGAATTATCCTATTTGGCTTGGCCTCCTCCTATTCAGTAGCAATAATGACTAGTTACAATCAAAATTGGTCACACCTATCAGTACAGGAGGAATGTAATTAATTCCTCAACCACCTCATTAATAAACTGGGCCATAATATTGTCAAGAACTTCAACATTTCACATCCACTTTCCTGGAAATTCAGATAAGATTATTACACCCAGGGCTAGAACCAAAATCATTAGTTAAACAAACAGGCATAAAGATTACTTGAAGCTGGTTGAACTCTTGGCCTAACACCAGCTTTTTACTTAGTTTTCCACCATGTCTTTGATGCCAAGTAACCATTTTTTCTGTCATTTCCCATGCAGATCAACAAGGAATAGCCTGAAATGAATTGGAAAGGAAAAGGTAGATACACATACCATAAATGTAACAGGCCAAGAGATAATAATATGGAGAACATAATGCTGAAAGAAGTTCAATCTGTGGTTACAGTTTGTCAGAGCTGGCGCAGTAAGCAGAAGCCTGGTGCGGATGTTTGGTTAGGTACATAGGAAGCTATCTGCATTGAAAACCTTGGGATAAGAGCCGTGCCTTTCTGTTGGTGTTGGACCACTTTGAACTATCCAATGAGGATGAGGGACCCGACGGGTATTTTCTCTTGTGAAACCAATTGATTCTGTCATCCCGAAACGTTTTCGTGAACCTGAAAAACACTTATCGGCATGTTGGTTCTTAGTGAAAAGATGAAAAGGACACATTTTGGCCGACGGTGGCCACAAATCTCTTTAGCTTAACTCTGATCATAGAAGCAAGGGAGTTTTAGGATGCTATACTTATCCAAATCGGGATTATAGACATTGTTTTCTGGTTTTGTTAGTGAGGTAAGTCAAAATTGGTGGGTATTAACCACGATCGTCATGCCAATTAAGCTGTGGCTCTAATGGCATATGATGATGATTGATAACAAACACCATCGCTCTGGCAGGTATTTATCTTGTTAGGGGGGTGAGAGGTATACAAAAACAGCATGACAATTGAGTATAGTTAAGGTAATTAAATACTCAACTTGATTATTAAAGATAAATGATATCCTACTTTTTTTTAATTAAAAAAAAAGCACTAAGTTTTTATATTAAAATTTGTGTTTAAAATATAAACAATTTCTAGAGTCATGGGTTCAATGCCTATTAGGAGTAAAGTTCTCCTTTCTCCCTATCTAGGTGGGAATTGTTCCAAAAATAAAATTCGATGACTAAGTTTAGGTTAAATTCTATCATTAGTCATTAAGCTATTACAACTTTTCTACTTTAATCACCAAATTATTCTTTTGTAAAATCGACCCTAGCATTACTTTTTTTTATTTTAAGGGTAAATTCATTAAAGTTTGAGTAAGTTTTCGTTTTACCCACAGAACTTTTAAAAGTTACAAATTAGTCACTGACATTATCAATTTATAGCAAATGGTCACTCAACGTTAACTGAAGGTGATGTAAAACTTATGTGTCACGTTAACCGCTGACTTGGAAATTGCTATCAATCCCAAGGGCCATTGTCTACTACTTCAGCGTCACCCATGTCTCTTGTGACAATTTGGCTGCCTCTTCGTCTCTAAAAAATGGAGGTTTGTGGCAGAACACAATGAACCTTACCCTATCGGTGTTGCAGTTACCGGGTAGTCGCTTGAAGACAGTTTTCAGTTCTTGGGATTTTGATTTGGAAATGGAAATACTCAAGCTCGAGAACCAATTAGAACAACAAAACTTGATGGATGAGATATCTAGTCTCTCCTCCCCATCTTGTTGGAGCAAGAAATACAGTAAGCTCAACAATTTGAAACCTATTAATCTTGGTGACACATTCGGATCCCTTGATCTTTCCCTGTTGTCTCCATTGAAGGGACACCATATTCGTCAAAACCAACTTCGTGCAAGCTATCCAACGAATCTTTCATCATCTCCGGTGAGGAATCCCTCATCATTTGGTTTTGTTGGGAAAAGACGAGTATATATGAGAATATCTATTTCTATCTGTGTGATTAAAATGAGCACAAATATAAAAGACAACAAAAACACACAATATTTTGATGATGTAGAAAACCCAAATCGGGAAAAATTGCAGGACGTTAGTCCAGTACAAACTTACCTTCCACTATTATATGAATAGGGATACAAAAAGTCTCACCTAGTTAGGATGGTTTACAAAAATACTCGCTCACAGGTGGCTCACTCTATCTTTTTCTCTCTTGATGGAAATCTTTTGTGAATGTGTTTCTTACAATTCATTATCTCTTGCTTACTTTCTATATGCTAACTTTCCCAAAACCTCATATTTATAGTAGAGTAATGGGGTAAGCAAAAGACTCATTCATAGCTTCTAGATGAATCCGTCGTAAATAGATGAACCATTGAAATACTAACTCACATGAATGTGGATAATACATTTCCCCAAGTTATGTGATACATCTCCCTTGATAAAAGATGATACATCTCCCTAAGACCAATTAAGGAGGAATGCACTCAACAGGTTTTGACTCATTTGCCACAGTGGCAGCAGCAATAATAAATAGAAGATAATAATGTTAAACAAAAGAACTCAAAAAGGGTGGAGGCCATAATGCACCAGTGAGAAAAAAAAAGGTGATCTTGTTCGTTTGCGAAGATTATGAGTATAACAATTTAAATGTTTCACCATCAACAAGCCACTATTTTATCCATTTTGTTTCAGTTATGATAATAGTTTTTCAACCAAAGCAAATAAAATTAGAATTAAACTTAAAAAGGTACGCAAATTAAGTTAGTATTTTGCAAGTGTTATTCTTGTTTTCTAATTAAGTTAGTATTTTATCCATTTCGATTAACACTATTGATGGAAATGTTTCTTCTTTCTTCATCGCTTTTGTTTTCGCCACTGTTTGCAATTACCCAAAGCTCAGTAGCCATGGTCGGTGGGGTGAGGTTCCTTTTGTTCACATTCAGTCTGCTAACTGCAATTGGTACATCTTCACATCGTTCACATTCAGTCTGCTTAACTATTTCCGCACAAGATTTCACAACTTCCTATAAAAAATAATTAACTTTTATAATCATATTCTTAGAATGCAGAAGAAGGCCCTGATATACTTCATGATGTTCACCTTATGCACAACATATAACAGTTGAAGGTTTTCTTCCAAAGAAACTAAAGGAAAATTTGATGATAAGAATGGAGAACTTTATATCCCCCGCAATCTGTAGAGTAATCCAAAGTGCTATTCAGAATATACAAGGTAAACCTTATCATCTCATCCCTTAATTATTAAACTTAACAAGCATGTGGCAAAAGATAGAAAAACCTAATAGAACCAAGATTTTGAATCGTCTGGCCTGGATTTAACTTAATAAACTGTTTTCGTTTTCGCCACTATTTCCAAATCAAAATCTCGGGAACTAAAAATTGTCTTCAAGCGGCTACCTGGTAGCTGCAACACTGGTGGGGTGAGGTACATTTTGTTTTGCCACAAGCCTCCATTCTTCATAGAGGAAGAGGCGGTCAAACTGTCAAAGGAGACATGGGTGACATAGAAGCAATAGACAATGGCCCTTGGGATTAACAGTAGTTATCCACTCTGAACTTGGCTACCCAACGTTTAGCGGGGGCACGATAACTGGTACACCAAAGTTGCATCCTTCCCAATCCTCTCGTAGTAGGAAAAGGTCTTCTCAATACTCTAATGCCCACACCGGATATGGACCGAACTATCTCAGGATATTCTAAACCCAGCTCATGTACCACTTTAATGGGTGAACAACCCAACCCTTGGAACAAACTACAACCTCAGGTGGCGAAGAGCCAACATTGAGGTGCCAAACCTTCCAGTCGATGTAAGCTCTTGGAGAAGATTAGTCTGTTATTCCTAGTGTAACTTTTATCTGTTGAGCGACGACCCTTCCACTTGACACCGTCTGATCATTAAGGTCGACTTTCGTCCCTGCACGATGGGTGGGTCTTGCAGTCAAGCTCCCTTTTGCTTTTGCACTTGAGGGCCAATCTTCGTCCAGCTCGAGGAAACCTTTGCACACTGATGTTACCTTTTGGGAGGCCTACGCCCCATAGAAATTGTCTACTTGAGATTGTCCCTTGGCCCATAGGTCTTGACACAAGGTTAAAAATCTGGCTTTTCCAGAGTGATATCTCACTGATGCCTCGGGCCCCCGGAAGGAGGGCTTCTTCGCCTTCCACCTAAGCTGCGCGGGAAAAGCCCAAAGCCAATCCCAAGGAACAATAAAGCTTTATAGGGTATTTCTGTCCAGGTGCGGGTAGTCTGCATCTTCACAGACATGTTTATTTCACATATCCTCTCTCCAAGACAGTGCCAAGATCATTACGCCTTTCATGTGAATCGAAACTTACCCGACAAGGAATTTTGCTACCTTAGGACCGTTATAGTTACGGTCTCCGTTCACCGGGGCTTCGGTCGACGACTCCCCTGTCATCAAGTCATCAACTTCCTTGACCTTCTGGCAATGGGCAGGCGTCATCCCCCATACATGGTCTTATAACTTTGCACATAAGTTTTTCATCACCTACAGTAGTGGCGGTTAATGTTGAGTGACCATTTTGTGTAGTAACGGTTAACGTTGAGTGATTATTTTGTTACAAATCGATAACATTAGTGACCAATTTGTAACTTTTGAAAGTTAAGTGGAGAAAACAAAACCTTATTCAAACTTTAGTGACAATTTGTATAATTTACCCTTGTTTTAATCAAATGTTAAAAAATTAATGGTAAACTACCTTCAAGATCACTAAACTATTGGCTTAATTCTATTTTAACTTTTGAATTACAAGTTTATCAATTAGATTACTAAACATTAAATTTGGTTTCAATCAAGCTGTTGACTGTTAACTATTAATGAAATGTTGACGTGATAGTAAAGTAAATTTATATTAGAACACACTTAACAATACTATTATAAATTTAATCTAACTAATATGATGGTGAGAAAATTAAATAGAAAAATAAGATGGGAATGGGAGACTCAGACTAGAATATATTAAATTATATGCATAAAATAATTATTCATTATTAAATATTTAATAATTTTATTTTTAAATTATTATAAAAATTAATAAATAATATGATAAAATATGTAAATAGTTTATCGATTAAAAGATATTTTTTACTGAGTCATAGGACTATAAAAAATTACAAAATAATTATTAAACTTAAAAAATAAATAATGAGTTAACATGCTTTATGCTATTTTGTTCATAGAAGATTATGTCACAGTTAATAAAATTAATATAATAATAAATTTAACCCTCAACTTTTATACTTTGGTTATAGGAGATTATGTGGCAGATGCTTAAAAAACAGGATTTCACTCAACGCCCTGGCTTTTACTGCAACGACTATCATGTTGAAGCTCCATTTGTCTGCGGATAGTTTCAATAATCATCTGCTACAGATACAAATAATGTCCATGGCTGACTCAGAGAATCGTGGTTGATGATACTGCACTGCCTGTCTTGCACTGTTTGACATCATATCAATATATTTATTGTTTCTGGTTTGCTGGACAATGAATGAGTTTTGAACAGAAAATCAAATTATCTATTGCAGCATTCACTTCTCAAGCTGTTTCTGGTTTTGCTACAATGAATACACAACCTAGGGATCTATTTAGTAGTCTGTTTACCCTTTGTGAAAATATTTATCTACAAAATTATAGTAAAAAAATTCGTATGAAAATGGCTGTACCATCCCAAATAATGGTGCATGGCAATTTGTTTCGTCATTTTCCACTATGAAGCTTGGCAGGCTGTGAAAGAGGGGAATCCAGGGCAAAAAGAGCTGGACTAGCAAGGTGTTTGTGAGAGTAATATTATTTATTTCCACAGACAGAGAAAGCTGGTCTGATATAATATTTATATTGAAGATATAGTATATTTATTGCATTTGTATTTTTTTTTCAAATTTGAAATGGTTAAGAAAAATATTGTTCTTCTTTAAAATTATGGGTTCGTATAACTACGTTTTCAAAATGTGCGTATTATTAATGATTAAGAAATATTTTAAACAAATATTAACTTATAATTACCTCAAATTATTAAAAAAATTCAAACTTTATTTTGAAAGAAGGTCTCAAATATCAGTTTCGTATTTACACCCCTACTAACATCTCCTTCCACATTAAATGTATTAAAAAATTAATACAACATATCGGGACAAAAAACGGAAACAATAATTTATTTAATATTTAAATTACACAACAGCAAAAAAAAAAAATACAATAGACCGACATGAATAAACAAATATCTGCACTAATTAACTAGTGGATGTCATTATTACTTCTATATAAACGGAAATAGGTAAGAACACAAGAATTTGATGAATGAAGGATGAATAAAAAAAAAAGAAACGAAAAATACAGGTGGTACGTGTTTGTTCTGCAACAGACAGATGGATTCTAATCCTCTTTGAACTCTTTAGTTGGCCGAGCTTCTAAGCCCCCTTCTGCTCTTCTCTCAAGTGAATAAGCCATATACGTCCCCATAATTCTATCCCACATGATGAAGAATGGCTGTGAGAAGTTGTATTTGCTGCCATATAGCTGATGGTGGACATCGTGATATGCAGCATTGTTTCTAAAGAAGATATGGAGGGGGTTGCCAGGAAGCATTAGCCCACAATGGTCATCCACTGTTTTGATGGTAGCAAACGAGAAGAAAAAGATGGAGGTCCGAGGAGACATGCCGGAGAGCATAAACGATAATGCCCCGCCTACCGTATCGAGGAGAAGCCCCTCTAATGGATGATTGTACAAAGCTCCATATGCATAGGGAACGATAAGACGGTGATGTCGAGAGTGCAGGTGCCGATATAGGAACTTGTTCTCGTGGAAATATCTATGCAAGAAGTATTGCCAAGTATCCATAACCAACATTGCTGTAAGAAACTGCCTGGCTAGAATAATCAAGGAAGATGGCTGCTGAGGGGAACTCTCAGTCTGACCCCCTGTGACCTGCAGAAAACAATGTTTGATAAAAAAGTACAACATCGATATGATTTCGCAGTTGAAATTGCTTACATGGCTCATTATGCATGCTGGAAAACTTATGGGATTTTGGATTTCAATTAACAACAAAACAGAAGTGGAATAATGCCATTAAACTACCAGCTACATGTGAAATAATAACAGTCCTGAAACAAAATAAACAGGGAACACCACCCGGCTTACAAGAGTTTCATCAGGTGACAAGATAATGAAGAAACCAGTGAA